TAATGTCATTGAATCTCTATATAGTGCATAATTTTCTAGTTAAAATATCCGCAACAAATTACAAGAAATCCCCATCCCTCAATAATGAATTGATTGAAAAAAGAGCATGCTCTACGTATGAATGAAACGAGGAGATATATTGATCAAAATGTTTCTGAAATAAGAATACCAACACTTTTATAAAATTATCATTTCTCAAGCTCTATAGTCAATTAAATTTCATTATCAGTAAAAAACATCGATCTTTATAAACGTAAGATACAAGGCCGAGGAACGGAAACACCTTATTATAAAATGTACCCTTAATTTCCTGTACTTTATTTTATGTTTACAATAAAGAAGATATGCCATTAAACAGCTTTCATATTAATTCTTCACGTATTATTAAAAAAAAATCAGAAAAAAATAACCACGTAAGGTACATTGCACCGTTTATTGATCATCTTTTTTAAGATCGTAAAGTAGCCTGAATTAGTTTCGATTGAGAAACTTTCGGTTTCATTGATTCAAAAAATAATGACAAGATTTTTTTTGTGGAAAAATGTAGATCAGTTGCAGATTCAGACTTTTGTTCAAAACCACAACTTTTCACTGAATATAAATATTCTGTGTACAATTACATGTATATATAACACACTTTTAGCATGAAGAGGAGATCCCCTCTACCCCTTTCTCCTGTATAGATACGTTAAAATATCAATATGCTAATTTCGTAACGTCCTAAGATAATCTAACATATTGATTGATTTTTTTTTCTCAAATAAATAGAGCATGATTACTAAACACAAAAGCCAAGCAACCTAATCAGAACGCAGATTCATATCTGTAAAACCGGGGAAATGTATCAAATGCGTTTTTTAAAAAATACATATAAAAAGCATAAAAAAGCACGTAAAACATTTTTTCTGCTAAAATGCCATACATTACCTTTGTATATATTTTGAAAAACTGAAATATTGAACCACATGGATTAAAAAAATATATATTTAGTAATTGAGAAGGATTCTTTAATTCATTAGATAAACCTAGAAAAGTAATAGTTAACAAATATTACTGAAAACACACGAAGATTTTTCATTTCAATTCTATGTATACACATTATTATCGCTGTTTAACTTTACTATTATGTTTTCCTAAAAAAAAACGGGGTCCTTAGAATTCGGTGTTACTCTTTCCGTCTGTTTTCCTTAAAAGTACGTACTTATAAAACTATCGTTAATAAGAAGTACTCTTTTTGTCATGGGTTTAAAATATTTATCAGTATTATAATCAGATATTTAAAAAATCCGGATACGTAATACGCATAAATTAAGAAAAGTTCTGGTCTCATTTTACACTTATGGAAAACTTAAACACAAGTTCTTAAACCTGTAAAAAATGTAATATGATAACGCCTACAAAAAAGTACAGACATTAAACAATTGGGATCTATGATGATGCAGGTCAGTGTTTATAGACCGTGAAAACTGCGAACAGGTACTTTAATAAAAATGTTTTGTTGACTTTTGGCAATGTCTTAAGATTTCTTCAACAGGAAATTTAAAACTGAGCAGCGAAAGAAATAAATGTCGACAAATCTGCGTATTTGGTTATGGATAATGATCGAATAAAGAAAAAAAACCTGACAAACTAAATAAAGGAAAATAAAAGGAATATTTGCCAATACTGAATACCATTGACAATTCAAAATAAAGGTTTAAAGGCACATTCAAATTCCTCGTATCTTTGACTCTCAAATATATATAGCCAATGTCAATGAAGTATGAAGACTTTTGTAAGTATATAGCTTTATTGTAAAGTCACAGCAAAAACAACAGTACATGAAAAGTTCAATTGCATAGATCCCGGAGCCAAGTTAGTGAGAGCTCATTGCATCACACGAGTCTCAGAGCTAAGGTCATAAAAACTCTCATAGTTCGTGTACAAGCCAAGTTGATAAAAAGCTCTCATAGTTCGTCTATGAGCTAAATTTGTAAAAAGCTCTCAAAGTCTCGAAACTAAGATGTTTAAAAGCTATTGATACTGATTACGCACTTCTTTTGTACGAGAAACTGCACCATAAGGATCACATATTTGGTAATAGCAATTAATGAGTTAGAGTGTCACTTCATTTACCGATCACTGTAGCCTAGTGTTAGAGCGTTCGCTTCGTGATCAAGAGGCTCATGTTCGATTCCTGTTCAAAGCGCCGCGAACAAGCTAAGACAGAAACATACTTTGTGACTGTTCCTTCGTCAAGCGCTTGGCATAAGATGTGAATGTCACGGGTTTGTCTGATATGACCTTAAAAACGGAGGCCCCGTGTCACGGAAGGCACTGACCCTCACTGCTCATTGGCCCTAAGTGAGGAGTATGGGCCTAACTTTAAAGCACATCACCGGCATACGGGGAAGTCTCTTTATGAGTGAAAAATTTTCAAATGGGACGTTAAACAATAAACAGTAAATCAATTAAATTTAACATTGATTTAGTACTCCCATCACTGAAGCTCTGTCTCCCATCTCCCCATATACCGAAAATCGGTCAGCCCATTTAAAATGGTATCAACACCCGCGGTTTCAATCGGCTTTGGGCAGAAAATAATGCATGTTATTTTGGAATACAAATATCAATGATACTCATAATGGACATGTGTAAAAATGAGGATTAATTAATTTTGAACATAATCTGAGGGTTCCATTTTGGTGATTTACAGATGTAAACTCAAACGATTACAAATAAAACACTTCAAACTAAGTATTATAGAGCTAGATAATAAAAAATAATAATAAAATAATCAGGACTAAAAAAATAATACTAAGAAAAATTAAATCAGCAAAGGTTTTTTTTAAATCCCCAATAATTAAGAAAATGCCTTTAGAGTATCCGTATAATATTGAAATTGGTCATGCACTTTAATGATAAAATCTATTTAAAGCTAATTCTGATGGAAAATAATGAATTCAATTTTAATTTATTGTATTTAAAAAAATATGAGATAAATATATGAAAGATATGGGAACCAGTATCAATCACGGAAAACAAAGAAATTGAATTATTAAATAGAAACTGTAAATCACAAAGGGAAAAATTGACAAATGCAGAATTTTTGCACGATCCGTTAAAATTTTGTTCAATTAATAAAAGTTTGTTTTCAGGAAATTATAGGTTTGAGAACCCAAAAATTCTAATTTTTTCTATTTTAGAAAAAAAGTAAAAGTAATTTCAGTATGCCCAATAACCAAATTATTGCAAAATATCCACAGGGCTGATACTTCTTCCTCCCTATTGTACGCATGCACAGAAAAGTTGAATAAGTTTCCATAATTACCATGGTCTCAAGTATCAACTTTTTTGTTTTGGTCTCCCTATATTCATTCAATGTAGGTAGACCAAAATATTTGATGTAATCTTTTTTTTTAAAGAGTTGTTAGAACATATTTCTCACCTTTGCATGCTCCAGTTGAATGTTTTTAATAAGTCTGAGCTAAAAATGAAAGTGGCGTGTCCTTGACATACACGAAACAACGAAACGGTAGATACTACCTTTGTTTTTTCTGGCACTTATGTTGTGCAGTCTTTTCTTGCAGTTTAATTTTCATATCTTACACTGTTCTATATACATGTACTCATACTTTTCTTAAGTCTGTCTCTGTATGCTACAGATATCTCAAAAGAATTTTGACTCATTGTGTCCTATTAATCGACCCGATTACTATGATTAGATATTCATTTTCAGTGTAATTCATGCATGTAGGTGTAAAAGCCTTATTCCTTCAATAAACATTATTTGAAATTGTTTGTATGCGCGCATTGTTCATGTTTAAAGACCTACGCATACATGAAAGGATTCCTGGCATATTACTCAGAATCAATTTCAACTGCATTTTATAGTTCCATTGATAATTGGAAAACTCATTTTTGAGTTAGCTTCGCCCATGGAATTAATAAACCCTGCCCACTAGAACTGCTTTGGCTGCTTGGACCGCCCTAGTGCTGTTGTGGGACTGCTCTGGGACCGCTATAGGACTGCTCTGGGACTGCTCTGTGTCAGGATGGGTCTTGTCAGTACTGTACACTGCACTTTGGTATTCATTCTAATTGGCAATAGCTTTTATCAGGTTTCCAAATATATCAAAGGATTTAAGGAATTGTTTTAAGGTACTAAAATTTACTCTTTGATTTTTTTTATGTTTTCTTCCTGTTTGAAAGATTTTTAAAAGTTTGAAATCTTCAAACAATGAAACACTTTTTGTGCAAAGATACTTTATCCTACAAAATTAAACCTAGCTCTCTATAAAAGACGGAATGTAAAAGAACTTATAATTACATGGTATATTTATAAGTGATCTCGATCTTTAATTGCATAACTTGAAGAAACTATCAGAAAATAATTATATGAATAAAATTGACATAAACCTTCCATTAAAAGTTTGTGTTAACGTTAACATTCATGCAAATATGAACTTTAGCGCATCATTGAAAATCAAGGAGTTCATTAAATCGGGAATGAATTACACTTTAAATGTCAATACTGAAAAAGTATGTTCGTAAAACATTAACATCGAGAAGATAATGGTTATGATAACTGACAGTATACATGTTATTTTTTCTCATAGACATTTTTGTCATGATTTTAAGATATTAATTGACGATAAATATTTGCGAAACTATGCTAAAATATTTTTTTTTTTAGATAAAGCATACTCATTATAACATATCTTAGAAAAAAGATGGGCACATGTTTTAGATTCATTTAAGTGTCAAATAAGCAAGATAACTTATATGACTGAAATATAACAATATCAAATAATATTTTTGATATAATTAAGAAATATTTTTATTATACATGAGAGTTGAAACCGCCTTTGTATTTTTAATGAAAAGACATGTAAAAAGAAATACATTTGATAGGAAAATGTGAAAAAAAATTATCCTCACATTTGCAGGTTTTAAAATTTATGATGCTTTGTTTTCAGTTTAAAGAGAGATAACTCTTTATGAAACGTGACCAGGAAGTTCACCTGTATATAACTGACGACCAGTGCTCAGGATAATGTCCACTATTTCATGGTCCTTCTTTCAAAGATATGGAAATGAAACTGAAATACTAGAAGAATATTGTACTGTCACAAGAATTTTTCTACCAGTTTGAAGAAACTCAACTGACGTAAGTGTAAATATGTCATTTTTAGCAATGCAAATTAAAGAGTTGCCTAATATATTTAATACATGCATAGAAAAAGGAAAGATGTTCATCATCAGACACACAAACGCCGGAGAGAATAGTATATGTCTGAAATAATGTTAATATATTGTAGAGAATTCAAAAAGTTTATTCTCAAGATAAGTCTTAACGTACTCAAATTAAGTACAGTAAAATTTACTTTCGTTTTCACAGTGAACCGATTATTTATAACGTACATTGTGTATTAAAAAAATTGCATCACTCAAAAATTCCTACTTGGATATGATAATTTATTCAAAAGATGAAATAAATAAAGTGAAAGTAAATTTTCTACGAAAACAAAATTAATAATTCAAAACAAGAAGCTGCATCATAAGATTAATTTTCTTTTTTTACTTGAAAATGGGTCTTAAGTATAACATTAATTTTAGCAACGAAAATAAATGTTCATCCAAATGTATAGATCAACTTACTAATCTCATTATAATGCAATCATGTTCTATCCATTTCAGTTGGATATGGATCCCAGCAATAGTGCTCAAGATGTTATCCGTTGCGACCTTTGCGATAAAGATATAGCGACCAAGTACTGTGATTTCTGTCATGTCAATCTGTGCATCTCTTGCATAGGAAACCATATTTCTGGTGACTATGACAAACATAAAGTTGTTCCAATTGAACAAAGAAAATCAACTTTAATTTATCCAAAATGTGCAAAACATCAAACAAAAGCCTGCGAATTTCATTGCAAAGAATGCAACGCTTCCCTTTGCTCCTTTTGTACTACATTGTCTGAAACACACAAGAAGCATACCGTTTCCGCTCTTTCTGATCTCTATATCTCGAAGAGAGAAGTCATTATAAAAGATAATGAAGAATTAGAAAAAAATATTTTTCCAACTATTCAAGAAATATCAACTGAATTAGAAACTCTGATAGCCGACTTAGATGGAAAATATGAAAAAATTATAAAAGCAGTGTTAAATCAAGGTGAAGAATGGCACAGACAAATTAACATTATTATGGACAAAATGAAAGCAGAAATTGAAGACATGAAATTGAAACACGCGAGCATATTGAAAGGACATTTGGATGAAATTAAAAAAGTAAAAAATCTTATTGAACAGACAAAGTTTGATTTGAGTGAAATTGAAGAATCAAATGAAGTGTCCAAGACAACGGAATACAGGTCTACAAACAAAGATATTAGCAAGCTTCCTCCAAAAGTTCAGGTATCACTGCCAACGTTTAGTCCAAAGCCAATAGATAAAGAACAGCTTTACAAGTTGATTGGATCATTTTCACCATTATCAACAACAAAAGATGAAAATGGCTACAGACTTAAGAAATCATGGGTATTTACCGAAGATCAAAATAAAGAAGCCGAAAGTACGAGGGTTGATCAAAACGTTGAAATAATATTTTTTGACGAAGACTGTGAAGTAGATTGGTAAAAAATATGACACACCTATAGTAATGCACACGTTCTATAAATAGCATATATAAAGTAACGATTTTCTACATCATTGTGGCTCAACAATGTTAAATGATGTCAATACGTAGGTGACTCGTGACGAAAAATAGTAGTCACAGTCTTACTCCAGCAACAAACGATTGTTAAGATAAACGTATAACTTGAACATTCTTTGAAGTATCTAATAATAATTTGTAAAAGGTTTATGGAGACAATATACTTTCTAGACGTTAAGTAATAAAATAGATTGATTTTTTTTAATAAAGAGAGGGAGGTGGTTAAATATGACGTTTTTTTTTTGTAGCCCATACAAACCAAGGTGAAGAAGAAATGTGTCCTTTAGGCAATTTATTATAAAAAATTGCCAAGTTACAGCTAGAAAATTTGTTGAATATTTTAATAACAATATTATTATTAAATCCATAGCTTTTCGTTTAATTTAGACCCTTAACCTATTAGATATGATAAAAAGAAGACCCATATCCATATTGTGATGGTCACCATGTTCTTTCTGAGAAAGGATATCCTCATCCAACCACCCTTTTTCCCAGATAAGATCATTTCTTACCAATGGACGGACTGTTCTTGAAATAAAAATCAATTTTCATGGTAAGAAATACTGTATGTGTACTTAAAACTGCGGCCTTCATATTTTACCAGCTTTAGAGGAGACGATGATGTGCTTATTCATAAATACCGCTAAGAATTAATTTATGAATAGATTATCAAAGACAGTAATGCCTTATGGAATATCCTACCCAGACATCCATAATATACATGGGTTACATAAGTCCTATGCTTGTATTTGCAACACTGCTTATGATTTTTTTTTTCAGAATTAAAAACACATATAGAGTTTATTGTTTATTTATGGCAGATTTTGGCCACAGTGGTCAGATAAATGTATTTCAACAATCAGCATCAACTTTGGGGCCGCCAGACAACAGGACTTACCCCTTACAACAACATTTTATGTGTCGTCCGAAACGGCAAGTAGCATGCTCGGTTGGGGTTCACAATCATTCTACAGACACATCAACACTGAATTAAATATACATCTCTTATTTTAAATTACATGTATCTATATATGAAAATATTACCAAATCAACATCAACGTAACAACAGTCAACATCATATTTCACAACCAACTTGAAGGTGACGATATGGTCACATGGGCGCCTGATGAATGTGTGCATTTGCAGACATACAATCAGGTTGCCCACCGCCTCATGGTAGGGGTAGGAACGTTTAAGATGACCACTGTGCAACTGCCAAAAGGAATACCTAATTCTATGGACTAAATATGCCTTTGTAATTATTTACAAGGAAATTTTTCGCTTTCACCCCATCCGACAAAACACCCCAAGGCCTCCTGAATGCTGAAGAGGAAAATTGAATTTCCTAACTCTGACAAGTGTATTCAATCTGAGTGATACAATTGTACTGATTCGCCAATAAATTGGAAACGCATGATAACCCCCCTTCCCATTTGAAATACCTGTTTTGTTTCCCATCTGTTTAGCCTATTCCTCGCCTATTCCATTGCTCCAACATGACATGAGTGTCTCAATGAGATACAGGGTAGGAGAAAAACCAAATACTAGTAAGAGTAGTGTTGATGAATATACTAGAGAGTAACTAGATTTCCTACTTAATTCTATACAGTATTCGTGTGCTTAATTTGACCTACATCATTGACACCACAGTGTATGAGTTATTATCTTGGAGGATCCTCCAAGTACCTGACCTTCTGAACTAGTTGAATAAATTTTAAGCACTGTATCCTTGACACCAGAACTTATTTCCCTCTTTGTTTTAGCCAAAGGCTCCATCACTGCTATTGATGACCTTCCCTGTTTATATAATTGACGAGCAGAGCCAGAAATCCATACTATATTTTTGCATGGTTTGGGGAACCCTATAATATCTATTAACAAATACATGCAAGTACAATTGAATGTGATAACTTATTATGATAAATGCAGTCGCTAACCTGAAAGAATGAAACATAATACTGGCTCTCTAGGCCAATATCTACACTGACTTTACCTTTAACTGCTGAGAATTGATATATCTCCAAAATGACAAAACAAGGGTCTTTGGCCTTACTTTCAAAATTAGCCATTGCCTGCATTGGGTAAATAATTGAACCATGGTTATTTATCAGAACTTACACCAACCTTTCCCAAATGATACGTTTTAGAGTACCTTAAAAACAATTGACTTAATTGTAGATTTACATCACTTATTTCCAAAATGCCCTGAGAGCTGTTGCCCCAATATAAAGCCATCTTTTTTCCATTCTAATTGTTAATTGTATATTCATGCTGTAAATAATTTTTCTTAACGCTGCTCAATGCCCCCCACCCCCTCTTTTTTTTTTAATTTACAACTTGGTATTTAAATTAAACAACTTAGTATTAACCTTAGAATTGAGATCTCTGAAACCCTCCAATACTTTGGGACATTGTACCTACCAGTATTAATTAAGTCAATTTTTAAAAATTATTTATCTTCACTAATTATGTCCTTGAGTGATAGGCATGTAATTTTAATTATTTGTAGAATACCTTAAGTCCTACATTGTAGGCTACTGCAGTGTTGTAAGAACCAAGAATTGGATTAACAGTCGAAACTTTCCCCTGGACATCGCACTGTAAATGCGGTTGTGATGAATTCAATACATTTGTTTGGCTTCAAATATGATATTATAAAGCACATGCATCAAAACTAGCTTCCTAATCGAAAATAATTCACGGAGGCCTTGATAATTGAGTGTAGAGAATGCTTACTAATGCAATGTTATCTGTATGGATTTGAACCTTATGTCACCCCCCCCCTTCGTCACTGACAATATTGGGGCTAACTCTTGAAATGTTTATGCCTGATGGTGACCTGATCCTACTAACCTTGATAGTCTTTGGAAAGAAAAAGTCTTGAGCTTTCTTACTATAAATGATTCCATTTCTCTCATATCAACCGTCGACCTTTCAATTAGTTTACAAAGCAGAACTCTTAGTTTCTTGTCCCTAGCTATACTTACAACTTTAAGCACTGTTTCACTTTTCCAGCCCTAGGAATACTAAACAAGTACTTTGTCCTTGTATTTCATCTTAAGCGTTGAAAGAAACTCGAAAATCATTGCACACATCCTAGAATAATGTCTGTTTTCGCATGATCCCCTCCTACATGTACCTTCAAAGATAAAATCGACAAAGTACGGCTCAACAATACTCAAACCACATTTATTTGTTCTAATCCTCTGTAATATTTTTAATGTTGAAAATTTTTCAAAAAAATGAACGCTAAATGGAACACTCAATAGGTGAGCCGTTGTCAAAATACTATTAATCCTTAAATCTAAATCTTAACTTCAGTCCCCAGGGTGTATTGGTTGTAACTGAAATGCACTTTTTATAACAACATTCCCTAACTGTACTCACTGAATTATCATATGTTTCATAATTTGGAAATTGCCCTAGAAGCCAAAAGCAAATTTTCAGCTATAACAAAGATTATCGGATCTGTATTATTTAATCCCATGAATGAATCCCTGTAATATTTTATCTGCTACAGAGACAGGTCCACTAAACATGGCATGATCTAGACCCCACTTAAATTTATAAAAATGTTCATGAATGAGCACGGTTTTTTTTTTTACATCAACCCCTTCAAAATTAAATGCATGTTATTTGTTTACCCCTAGAATTCCTGTATTAATGATCTATTTTCAACCCAAACCATATACATGACCAACCAATTCTTTATATAATAATATCTACGACTGAACTAAATTTGCAGAATTCATCATAAACGTTTCTACCTAAATGACCTACCGGCCCCAGAAAGTTCAGCTTCTATGCATTTTAGTAATAGATGTTTAAATGTATAAAAAAGGGTTATATATGCATCTTTCCATTTTAATTGTTGTGATTTTTAGACGGTGTTACTTACCTCTGTACTTTACGGTCAGTAAAGGCTTCAAAACGGAAGCCCTGTCTAGAACACATGTATCTAAATGAAAGAGAGCAGAAATTGTTCTTATCAAAATACAAACATTCTGGATCAAACTGAAGAAAGTAATATGAACATTTTACTCAAATTCATGAAGCATTTTGAAAAAAAACTTTAAACTAAAAATATATTAATTGTAAATCACACAAGTACACAAATACTCTCCTATAGCATTACATATATATGACATAGTTTACTTCCTGAAATGTATAAATTTGGATCTGGTGAAATTTGCCATTCAAATAGGTTTCTTAATGACAATCTTTAAAAAAAAATTCAATTTCAAATTAAATGAAAAACTTGATGTCATAAAATAAAATCTAGCAGGAACTTGATTTTGACCCCGTACTGTCTCAGTACTTTGGCATTTATTTTTTAGTGAAATCTTAAGTTTGCTTAACATTTGGCGATCATGACCTAGTATAGAAAAATTGCTCACTGGCTGAGTCAGATATTTGAATATTTTAGCATTATAACATCAAATCAACATATTTTCCTTCAACGATTCTTTATCTTAACGTCTACTTTACATAATGGCCCAATATAATAATTGAATTTAGTGGTGCTCTGCTCTTTTTGGCTGGAATTTTAGGTCCCCATCCCGGCGCCTATTTCCTATTTTCGTCGCAGATTGATTCCTCCGGATCAATCCTGGGACTGGACCTCTCCTCCGACATGTCTTTTATTCTCTCTCTCTCCATCTTGTCCTTATAAGCAACATGCAGTTTGTTAAAAAGTCAAGTTTGATATTTCAAGATAGGTATGAATACACAACTGAATAATGTTATTACCGACACATGCATTAGACTTTAGATCATGCTGCACTTTGTCACCAGAAATAATCTCCGAAATACCAAAAATATGAAGCCATCGAAACTTGTCAATCTTAATAGTGTCACTTCCTCTGGCGATCTCCTGATTGCCATGCATAATGATGATTGAACATAATGCAAAGTTATCCGTTATTCTGGCTTTACAGAGAAACAAAAGATCCATTTTTGATACTGAATGTCAACCTCTATTCAGAAAAAAAAACAAACAAAATCAAGTACATCAATAAAAACAAATACATGGATATGTATGTGGCTGATTGTTGGGCTTGTGTAGTGGTCAATCAAGCCAGGTCCGAAACTCCGATAAATCTAGGTATACTTGCCATTTTTAATACAAAGGATAAACAATTTCAACCTTACGGAATAACAACAGAGTAAAATTCTGTCAGCAGACAGTGATAACCATTGTTTACATTTCCTAGACCAGTGTGGGCAATTCCTCCGTTTTATAGAAAACTGTGATATGAAAGACCCTATGGATTATATGTGGATAAAAGTGATGATTTATTTGTGACTGAGTTTTATAGCGGAAAAATTAGAAATAACAATACCTAGAATAAACATATTACATATAATAATTTAATTATTTATATATTATATTATCTATAATATTATAAAAACTATGCATGCTAATAGTGATGCGATGGTTATCATTAACCCTTGAATTTGTTTTGACATAGAATATTTCATATATCAAGAAATAAATAAGTCTTGTCAGGCTCCAAGATAATCAATGCAGGTTATTTAAACAATAAAATGCTTTCTTTGTTTGTTATTACTGGAATTAACGGAAGCAGCTGTTGCAGAAAAAATACATAACCCGCGTAAGCGGGTTATGTAAATTTTTTCTGCAATAGCTGCGACCGTTAATTCCAGTAATAACAAACATAGAAAGACATTTTATTGTTTATATTTATATCTGTTTTAATCATTTAAAGCAGGATTAATAAGATTAATTATTTGATAATAATGCAAACGTCCTTATACGTTTCATTGATGGAACAGCCACTGTAGTTTATGCAGTGATTAAAGCAATGGGTTTTCTTAAGAAATAAAGGAGAAAATATTCACTGGATGTAAATATTTTAAAATTTACTTAAAAACTCAAAAACAGCGGGGTAAATGTAATATAAAACACATATCTAGCTAGTATACTTTTTGAC